GGTCATACAGGACAATGGGAGACGCCATTTTTAAATAGGTAAGTGGTCACATGATCAAAAACAGCTGATGCCACTTCCACATTAATTATACAAAGTGTAGAAAACAACATCAACAACATCATATAGCGATATACACACTCGACTATATATCAACACATACACCTAGTGAGTAGAGACAAATACCACGAAGATGCAACATGGTACACAATTGTAAAAATATAAACACACTTAAAGCAGTCTGAGTAGGGGGTGTCGGTGGCTTAGTGGTAGAGCAAGCGCCCCATGTACAAGGCTGTTGCTGCAGCGGCCCAGGTTCAAATCCAGCCTGTGGCCCTTTGCTGCATGTCATCCCCCCTTCTCTCTCTCCCCCCTTCACACTTACCTGTCCTGTCCATTAAAGGCAAAAAATGCCCAAAAAATATTATAAAGAAAAAAAAAAAAAAAAAGCAGTCTGACTACAAAAACATCAGGATGGACCATCATACATCATTAAACATGCTAATAGAGGCGCCTCTTACAATAAAAGGAAATAAATGCACGTCAATGAGCAGCCAGGGCACAGCAGTATAAGTATTCGTGTGAGTTTGTTTGTTTGTTTTATTAAGATCCCCATTAGCTTTTGCATAGCAGCAGCTATTCTCCCTGGGGTCTTCATGATTCTTCCCATAACAATACAAAATATACATACAGTAAACATCACTAAAACAATAACAAGACAGATACACATACACAAATACACAACAACAACAAAAAACGTACAATACATGCTCCATACTGAATCATCAAATATTAAGTTAATTACTAAAGTTCCTTGATAAATAGTATTCTCTAAGCTTGACTTTGAAATTATCAACATTTTTCAATTTTGTAATATAGTTGGGGAGTGAATTCCACTCTTTCATTGCCCTATACATTACCGTACGCTGCACAGACGAATTGGATTTATACAAAGCAAAGCAGCCACTAGCAGCATGTCTCGTAGAATAATATGTGTAGAATAATGTGTCTCTGAACTAAAAGATAAATTCTTGTAAAACATAAATGGCGTCTTTGTTGTGATAATATTTCTCATGAAAACCATAAACCATCAACAAGTACAGTAGTCTATTCTTTACATCAAGCCAAGATAGACATTCATGCATCTTTGTAACATTTGTCCAAAACCCACAAGAAAGAGCCACACATGCTGCTTTGTTCTGAACCGGTTGCAGTTTTCTGATATTACCTGATGATGCATTGGACCAAACCACAGAACAATAATCTAAAAGAAATAAAGCTTGAATTATTTGTTTGACAGTTTGTTGTGTTAAGTATTTTGTGCATCGTCTGATCACAGACAGAATGTTACCCATTTTCATCACTACTCTCTGTATTTGTTTGTCCCATGATAATTTATTATCAATGATAACTCCCAACAATTTACTTTCATATACCTGTATAATTAATACATTGTTTATATTAAGATCAAGATTTGAACTTGAGAGCAAAGAGTGGTTTGTTCCAATCACCATACTAGTCGTTTTAGACACATTTAAGACAAGTTTATTACTATTGATCCAATCCAACACCAATTTCATTTCCTGATTTAAATTTATATTTAAATCATCAATTGTTGTTTCTCCTAAATAAATGGTTGAATCATCAGCATACATTGACATATGAGCTTTTTCTAATACAAGAGGAAAGTCGTTTGTAAAAATAGAGTACAGAAGAGGCCCAAGGCAACTTCCTTGAGGCACTCCCTGTTTCACATGTTTAATATCTGATTGACTTCCATTAAAATAAACTATTTGTTTTCTTTCACTGAGGTAACTATTCATCCATAATAAAGCAGCAGAAGAAAAACCATAATATTTCAATTTTTCCAATAATAAATCATGATCCAGGATATCAAAAGCTGCAGAGAAATCAAGTAAAAACAACTCCAATAATTTTCTTCTGTTCAATCTGCTTGTACCAATCATCTACCATTTGAGTCAGAGCAGTGGTTGTCGAATATTTATCTCTGTATGCATGCTGGAAATCAGTAAATAAGTTGTTCATTGAAAAATATAGCTGAATTTGTTCATACACCACAAGCTCCATAATCTTGCTCAAAATAGGGAATAAACTTATCGGTCGACTGTTGGATTCAGAAAACTGCAGTACACAGCAAAAAACAGAAATACATGCAGACCAGCAGAGTTAGAACAGTTTAGAGAAAGGGTCTAATGTGACATTCTTCAGGCCTTTGGGTGACATAGTGTTCAGAGTATATATCCAAAACCTGACCCTGTCGCTTCTCTTACCTACATGGACATTGAACATGTTCAACCTCCACAGCAAGGGGGCGGGGGGGCATTAACAATCTGCTTCTGAAACGTGAACTGTTTTGGATACTCTGAACACTATGTCACCCAAGACACTTTGTATAATTAATGTAAAAGTGGCATCAGCTGTTTTTGATCATGTGACCATTTACCCATTTAAAAATGGCGTCTCCCATAGTCCTGTATGACCTGATGAAGAGCGGCAGCTCAAAATGTTGTCATTTTATTCTGTGAATAAATTGCACTGAAGAGGAGCCCTGCAGTGTGCAAGCCTTTTCTCTACCCGCTCAGCTTTCCACATTTTTGAGCTCAGCACCTGCACAATTTTGGTCGTGGATGTGCGTGCTTTTTACTGCTTTATTGTTTCATAAAAGCCCTGCAAGGCATGGGTGGTGCTATTTAGCATCTGCCATAAACATATGACAGCTGCGTGGGATCACTGTTTTCAGTATGTCCAGCATGCAGACTGTATCTGTTGCAGTCAAATACACCATAGATTAATAATAAATGAAAGGATCATGCCTTAGCGTATAACTTTGGATACTTAAGTCAGTTTTACTGCCAATACTTCTCTACTTTTTAAACAAAATACAGATTGCAGACTTGTAGGCTATGTTTTGTTCTTTTATTGATGGCAAGAATTAAAATACTTTTTTCCATCACTGAACAAAGCACTGCTGGTGGGACCAAGTATAGATTTTGTTCCCTCTTTGGAGCTCTGTGGGATCAATAAGGTAACAAAGATACAATAAAACAGAACTGACATGCATCTTTTCTTTAACAATCAATGTGTGTTTATTTACATGGAGGCTGTTTCCCTTTTCTTTGTGATTCATTGTATTCCAGGCAGTAATATGTGGCTCTCTTTTAAACTGGAGTTTTGCCTCAGGTGCACATTGTAATTAACTTTTGCAAGTTTATCTTTGGCCCCTGCCACCTCATCTCTCTCTCCCGCTGAATTGATTTATCTAAAAGAAGTTTATGTGCAGCTACAAATGGTGGAGAAATCTAACTATTAAACAAACACAAATATTCTCCATTTTTGTAATTCTACTTTTCACCAAAAGGTGTCGCCATTCTCCAGACTGAGGGCGGCACACATGGGCGCAATGCACTGAGTCGGATGGGAGATGAACAGTACAGTAGATTAGACTTAATCTGATCAACCGGTCTGCTCATAACTATGTGCAGCAGAGACCAGCTTTGATCACAGGGAGTCAGAGGAAAGTGAGTCCGAGCTTAATGGCCCGCAGCAACAAGGCAGCAACGGCCTCTCTCTCTATTATTATTATTTTTTTTTTTTTAAGTCATTTTATGAATGTATCTGTGTGTCTATGGGCATACCAAATGTGTATAGTATAAAGTACAACAACAAATGATGATAGATGTATAGTGTCTACTATTACCTCCTCGTCAGCCTGTTTTTTTTTTTTTTTTTAAATGAATTTAACTGTGAATGTCAGTAGGTTTTTAGACTAATGTGCACAAAATGATTTTTTTTTTGAAAAATTGAAACATTGTGCAGATTACATTAGGCATACCCAGAGAAATAAATAGACATAGATAGATAAATATATTGTACTGTATTTCTATGGGCATACCACATGTGCACATTAGTAGAATAAAAATCAGATAAATAATATAAAATTATGTATTGCATGGTGTTTGAGTAGATATTAACAATAATGATAATTATTGTTTTTTATGAATTTATCTGTGAACACTAATAGTTTGTAATTTGAAGGCTATTATTGTGCACAAAATTAAAAAAAAAACATTGTGCAGATTGCATTAGGCATACATATAGAAAAAATGACATTCATATAGGCTATTGTATTTCTATGGGCATGTCAACAACATAAAAATCAGATATAAAATTATATATTATATTGCATGGTGTTTAAGCAGATAACAAATCATTATTATTGCTTTTTAATGAATTTATCTGTGAATAGCAGTAGTTTGTATTTTTAGGCTATTGTGCACAAAATTAATTAAAATTAAAATTAATTAAAAGAAAAAAAATAAATTATATCGGCATATCATAGAAAATAAGATGGAATAAAAATCAGATAAATAATGTAAAATCATATATTATATTGCATGACTTTTGAGCAGATAGCAACAAATGATGATAGATTGTGTCTATTATTATTTTCTACTCCTTCAGACTGAATTCAGCTCCAGCCTCAAATCAATCATCATCAGCAGGACAGAAATCAACAGAAACTGTTTCCCAGTCAGAGACATTGAAGAGCCACCGGAAGTGGGCGGTTTGTCAGAGAGAGAGAGAGAGAGAGAGAGAGAGAGAGACACACACACACACACACACTAACACACACACACACACACACAGAGGGAGCAGTGAACTGAGAGGCGAACTGTTGGAAACTACACGGCTCACTGACTGACTGACTGACTGACTGAGAGACTCCTGTTGTATGTCGCCCTCGTCGCTGCAGCCTCGTCCCCGCATTTTATGAGAAAGGACAGAGAGTGTCTCCGCCGCGGTGAGTGAGTGTTAAATGTCTTTGAGAAGGTGTTTTGTCTCAAGTGTGGACGTCCTCGTCTCGTCCCACTGACTGTCCCTGTTGCGAAACAATATTCTGACAGCGCTTTGTAAACAAACTGCGTGCGGCAGCGCTGCTCCGTGTGTGTGTGTGTGTGTGTGTGTGTGTTCGCTCGCGCGCGCGCGCGTGTGTGTCTGGATGCATGTGGCAACATTTCTGTTGAATTTCTGCTTTACTTTTTTTCCTCTCTGTGGTTTTGTTAGCGCTGCCGATTCAACAGGCAGCTCCCTGTTATGTTTGATTTCATGTTTAATCTGAACGGACCGACGGTAATGAGTTTACTGTCACCGCACTGCTCTAACAGGAGGGCTGTCTCACTGTCATAGCAGTATCGTTTGTAAATACATAAGTTGTTCTATAGCTTTCCCCTTAAGACTCTAATGTAACTTACATGAGGCATTAAGTGTCATCTGAGGTGAGATAGGACCATAATGATAACCTGCGGCTGTAATGAGCGTTATACAGCCCGCATGAGTCTAATAATGGTGTAATGGGCATGCTTCAGAAGTTTGACAGCCTCACTGAGAGCCTTTGTTCTGTCACTGTGGCACTGGCACTCTGCTCTTACATCCCGCTTTATTCAAGTGCACTTCTGAGCTTCTTTAATTGAGGATTTTCATTTGGTGGAATTGCTTTTACTTCACGTCTCAGAGAGAGAAATGTTGTTACTCTGAACTCCATGACAATTTGTCTGAGTGCTGTAGTTACTCACAGTTAAAGACAACAGAATGACACAAAATCATCATACAACTGATGCATTATTATAGCTTTAACTACAGCAGATTATTAATTTTGCCACCAGCTGTAACATAAATAGGCTGCTGCTCAATAGCTGCATTTTACTGTTGACACTTCTTCAACTTCTGTAGTAAACATTTAGTTTTATTGAAGTTAAAGATTTCAAGTGGATGCTATGCAGATTCTTTAGGAAAAGATCATGAATATTAGAACACTGGAACGACGTTTTACAAACTAAACGCAAACCTTAAGTACAATAAAGCCATTCAGCACTGACTATCATAAATAATGCTGCAGTCCCTATGGCAATTAGATTTCCCCTACAAATCACAAAAGGTTCACTATAATCTCTCTGTTTAAGCTCCACACAGACAGATACTCAACTGGCCCACAATAGGGTCCCAAGTGGCCCTCCTACACATTTTGTAATTCACAATACAAAAAGTACATTTAATGTAAGTAAGGTTCCAGGTTTTTATAGAAAGCATCAAAATAGAGCTTGTTTATCAAATAAAAAGTGCCAGGGGAGGATTCCTGGACCCCCGAGAGAAGTCTGAGCTAAGCCTTGGATATCTTCAAATCCTAGAAATGCCCCTGCGTTCATCTGAACCATGCAGGGCAGCTGTGACTGGCCCCTGGCCTTCTGTCATTTTGCAATAGTAGCAGTCGAACAAAGCAAGTTGAGTATCCCTGCTGTAAGTCTTTACACTAGAACCGGCCAATATGGAGAAAATCAAAACATCATGATATTTTTGACATTGTAGCATTAATTTTTGGTGCTTTTACAAAATATATACACAATTGGATTTCTCATAAATAATCATCAGTAATGTGGATGTAATGACTAAGTGCGTAAAGGAAAATAATGCAACAGCTAAAAGAGTCTTGTGAGTTCAGAAAATGACATTGCTTTACTGTAATGCAGCCTTTAAAACCAGGAAAAGACAACACTTAAAGGAGCTATATGTAAGAAATATAAAGCAAATAGTCATAAAATCCTCCTAATATGTCACAGAGAATAAGGAATAATGTTCATATAACATACTGATCTCACCGACAACAATAGCACAGCCAGAATATTTGCATTTTAAAAAAAATTTTACAGGCCGCAAATCATGTTTATGTTTTGAATTTGTGTTTTGGCCTGTTGCGCCACCCACCACCGTCTACCAGTCGCACAGTCAGTAGAGTCTCAGCATCAGTTACAGTTACGACTGAGCTACAGCAGCACGGCAAGCAGCATTAGCAGTGTCCCGGTACATAGCATTAGCAGCCGGCTCCTCCTCAGCTGTATCCCGGCAGCAGCGTTAGCAGTGTCCCGGTACATAGCATTAGCAGCTGGCTACTCCTCAGCTGTATCCCGGCAGCAATGTTAGCAGCAGAGAAGCCGGACTTGCTAGAACAGTCCGCTGGAAAACCGCGGCGACGCGGCCCTGCCACGGCAGCCGCCCGTGGGCAAACAAATCAGTCTCCAGCGCGCCGCTGTCCAGCAACCTCGAATCTGTAGGGGAGGGGGGGCGGACACGACTCGAGGCAGTATTTTGAATTTGAGTGCAGTAACCATTTTGGCCACATTCTTACATACAGCGCCTTTAACATTGGAATATCCCAAAATCTAAGATGATATCTAGTCTCGTGACGTGATATTGATATAAAGCCCAGCCCTACATCATACTGAAGTCTTTTGAATAAAGCTTGAGAGGAAGGAGAAATGACCTTCTCTGGAGAAACTGAAGCTACTGTAAATGCTAGCTTTGCTCATATGTCCATTGTCATGTTCTCACATAAGCTGAATTCTTAATTTGAAAAGAGGTAAACAGTAAGTTTGGTCGTTCCGATTGGGTCTGTGTGCTGTTCATTTTAACAGTGCTAACTGAGCATTACTGTGAAACAAGTGATGCATTTGTTTGTTGATATGTGGTCTGAAAAGGCATAAATAATTCATGAAGGTCAATATACAAAGCTGACTGTCAAAGTGGTAATGTGTGACTCCTCAGTCTAGACCTTGGTGTTTACTTACAAGCAGAACTAAAATGTCACTGATGCTTTGATATCTCTGTGTGCTGTGTGTATGTGTCCTTGTGTGTTTGTGTGCAGATTACCTGTACCTTCCTGATATGCAGCCTTTGTCATTTTGTTGTACCGATAAGATTTTGGATTTTCCTTGGCATTGACTTTGTCCCCTGTGGCTCCTGGTAATTGAGAATCACTGGTTGTGATCACGCCCTCTGCCCACTGTGATAACATCCCCCATTCAGTGTTGCTGTGTGAAAACTTTGGAAGAGCCCTGTGACTACTTTCCAAGTCCTTCCCCCTTAGCGCAGTGGTAGGAATGGTTAGTTTACTGACACCCTCCTGTTTGGCCCCGGGATGTGTTTTTAATTGTGCTGAAATTATACAATTAATTCAACATCAACAGCTCTTTTGATAGTTAATTCATCATTTTGTCATCTATGGTTGCTGCATTTTTCTGTTTTATATCTTTGGAAATTTATTACCTTTTGACATTTCATGGGCTGATTTTTCAGCTTCTTGGTGTATGACTCAAGACTCCTCTTCCTTGTCAGTTCTCATTTTATTGTCCCTTTTGCTCATTTCTGCATGTCTGCTCTCTCAATCAATAAAACATTTCAGTCAAGCTGTAATCTACAGGAAATAACGGTCAGTGCCTTTTAGCATATAACCCCGTTGGCAGGCTTCACTTCACCCCGCATGCTCCCTCTGTCACTGCGTTGCATGTTGCACAGGAAGGCAGGGTTTTCCCAGGTTTCTGTGAAAACCAGGGTGTTTTGGGTTTGCGTGGGAACATTGCATGCTGGTCAGGCATGAATTGGCTGGCACACTGTGTCCCTGACAGAAAGACCCAGATGCTGGAGGAGCAGCGGGGGAGACAGGGGAACCCAATGTTTTATCCCACAAGCCCACTGTGACATGTGCTCAGTGCATGGCATGTCCTTAAGCCTGTCTGTGCCTCTCACTTTTTCACTCCCTGCTGGCGGACAAGTGTAGGGTTCTGCAAGCCTGGGAAGGCTGATGAGTACTGTAAGTAGGGGTTGGGTGGAGGGGGCTAGCTGGGAAGGATACCGCAGGAGACATGTTCTTCAGCATTGACATCATGGGTAGCTGGAAGTGTGCCGATTAGAGCAGTGGTTTTCATCTGAGCCAAAAGTCAAAGGTGTCAGAATCACTTGCACCCTAATGAATGTGCTTAGCATGGGGCCTCTGAACAAAGGAGGAAAGGATGGACTGATGGACGATAACAGGTACAAGACCAAGAATGTCCTCTACTTGTGATCCAACCTTGTGGATAATGTAACATATTCAATGAAAGACAAAGAGGTGGACGAGGGTAGACACAGAGTGAAACAGAAAGGGAAACACATTCAGAGGGAAGTGATCAGGAAGCATGTGGTGACAACCTCCTCCCCCTTTCAGTTGGGCTAACGCTAATCCACTTGTCACGTGACCATGAGCTTTTAGCCTGGTCTAGACCAGGAGCGCTCTGATCCATCTGTCGAATAGCGTTGCTGATTGTTGGCATCGGCAGCGTGTACGCCTGTCCCATGATCACTGCCTGCTCCACACAAGACTCAAATTTGATTGCCATCAGCTAGTTACTTCTGTATGGTGTTATCAGCAGTTTCTCTCTGTGACTCTTACTTTTCCATTATCCTTTATTCTCCCGCTATCTTTCTTTGTCTGACCTTCATTGAATTCCTCCTTTCAGTGCGAGTAAGTGGGAGGAGGATGACAGTAAATGCTGAGAAGCATGATAAGGCCTTGGGTTATTATCTCAGTGACACAACGAGAATAGCCAGAACTCTCAAAGGCAAGTTGGCCATATGAAGGAAGTCACAAATCAGGAATAGAGAGTATACGCTTGAATTCCCACGAATTGTGTAAGGAGATGTCAGACAGGGTTCATCCCACAGAAGACCGAGAATGGATATATGTATTCTGGATTAATCATTTTCTCGTCTTTGCACACTCCCCCTCTGCAAGCCTAAACACACAGGAGCAAAATGCTGTTGCAACTTGCTGGCCTGGCCCGTGAGGCTCTCAATACCACACTTTCTTTCATGCCTAGAGCATGGGTGGATAGTGAGACAATGGGCCCCTGGGCACAGATATGCAAAGACCCCCTTCACTTCTACATAGGAGCAAGACACACAGACTTTGTGGTAGTTTTGGATCTCATCATG